ATGCAATTTAATTTGGGAAAAGATTGAGAGTAAGTTATACATATGTGATTAAGAGTAGCTAAAATAGAAGTAACAATTCCAAGATGAGTGACATTCAGATTCTAATCCTAACCTTTATTTAGAGGGTAGAAAGAAAGCTAATATAAAGTAAAAATAGCTTTCAAATATGATTTGAGAAGAAGGATACATGAAAAAATTAAATGGGAAAAAAGTTATGACATCAGAATTTAAGGTGCCAGTTTCCTCAAAGTAAAATCAATGTCTTAAGTTTAGAAGAACTTTTGTTTCAGCAATAGCAAAAAAAATTCAAATAGTTTCAGAGTATAATTGTGCTAGATATGAACAAAATTTAGTCTAAATGTAAAAAATAAGGAATTTTCCATGCAGTTTATGAGGAAAGACTTTATTTACATAAAGCATTTGTAGACTATTTTTACATGTGATTTAAAAAATATTTAGTGGAACATGAGTCAGATCACACAGTTACATAATTATAATTTTAAATATTAATGATATAAATTAGGACACTTTTAATTAACCTCACTTTTTAATTTTGAATATTGTGAAGTGTAGTGAAGTTAGGTAGCTTGTTGGAAGACATATAAACTTCACTTACCTAATCAAAGTCTGCATTAGAAATATATACCTTCCAAGTTTTAGATAGGGTAACAGGCAAAACTGCCATATTGTGATAATCTATGGTAAAAGTTAGAAACAGTGTCTTTCAATAATAATTTTTAAAGCATTTTATGTGTTGATTTGTTACTGGAAATTAGTAGCCTAAGTAACAAAGTATATTTCAAACAAGAGAAGCATACTGAAAATCCTTTTTTTAAAAAACAAAATCTCACATTGTTTTAGTAGCCACCATTCAGCCATAGAATTCTTGAGTGTGCATCTCACTCAAGGAGAGTCTGTTTTTAGTTTCCTAAACATGTAAGTGAAAGGTGTGGGAGTTGGGCTTGTAGTCTCTTCCTCAGTTTTGAAAGAATTAAGGAAACAAAGGAATCGGCGAATGACAGACATGCACTGACAGACATGCACGATGACATGACATCTCTGCATCAGACAATACTTTATGTTATCGCTAATCTTCTCAACCAGCCTACAAGGTGAATATTGTTTTCTCTTTTGTAGTTGAAGAAACTGAGAGTCAGAGGTTTGTAAACTTGCCTAGCACCAGAATATTCAGTTTGCATGCTTTTAAGTCCCTTGCTGTTACATACAAAAGAAAATATGGCCGTTTGTGTGTGCGTGTGTGTTTCTAGATTATCTCACATGACACATATCACATTTTGCACAGCTTTAATTATTGGTGAGTATACCTTCTAGCATGCCTGTTTTACTGCAAGTTGTTTTAAAACGGTGATCATAGACTTGTAGACACACTCTCGTCATTTGACCCATAGTGTTAACACAGAGCTTTGTACAAAGAAAAGGCTAAAGAAATTTCACTGGAGATGGAAATACATGTTGAAATGGACTTTTCAAATGCTTTTTATCATTAGTAAATCTTTTTTATGAGTAATTATTTTGTCTATATATGACTTAATGAGCCCCTAATGTCTTTTCTTGGTTTTTCTTCTCTATGTGTTTTTGAAGAGCTATGTTTCAGAAATGACTTGAGTGAAAATCCCTTTTATGTGAAAACTGGTTTGGTTAAGTTAATGACAACACATAAATTGGAAAAAAAAAAACATCCCAGAAAATTTTTTTTTTTTTTTTTTTTTTTTTTAAAGTTAGTATTTAAAGAGTGGTAGTTTATCTTTCTGTAGATTATAAGCATACTTGTCTGGAACATTATCTATTAAAATTTATATAGTTTACTATTGCAATTTTATTATATATATGCCCAAATTAGCACATTATTGTGGGGCTGTGGGTGAGAGGTCCATGGGTGGTGAGGCTAGGGTGTGAAAACATATTACCCTCCTCAAGTAATATCTTCTATTCATCTAAATTCCTTTCCCCACCTCTGTTTACAGAGTAATCATGAAAACAAATTCTTATGCTCAAATCAAATGCAAAATAATCTTAGTAGATGTGGCTTTATGCCCTGCTGTGATATCTTAAAATAAGTCCTTATTATAAATAATAGATAACACTTTCTTATCCTTTCTATAAAGTAACTCTCATTGCTTCATCAAGGTGAAAATGTACTATGTCATATGAAATAAACTATTCTGGTTTTCACTAAAGCTAGACTTAATAATTGCAATACTCATACTTCACTATGGAAATAATTTTCCGGCTCCTCCAAAAGGTACAATGTTATAATTAGGCTGGTTTCCTTCTTTAACATGTCCTTTTTCTCCTTTCTCTTTGTCCTTCCACTTCTACCTCATATATCCATGCTGTTCCCTTTTTCTCTACTTGTCGCAATTGGATAACACATTTAAGCAAGGCCTAAGTCTTCCTTGGAAACTTGCTACATTGTCCCCCTTCCTTTGCACAATTACTACCCCTGGTTATGCTCATACATCTTCTTGTTTATTCTACCATAGGGAGAGGAAAGAGCACTGATGTTGGAGTCAGACATTTGGTATGAAATTCTTGCTGAGTAACATTGTCTGATTTTACTTCTCAGTCAACATGAGACAATATTATCTGCCTGATAGATTTGTATGGAGAATTAAATCATATAATTGTATAATAATCTAGAACATTGCTTGGAATATGATAGGAACTATAAAATGTTACTGCTTCTTTTTATGTTGATACTTCATTTACTACGTCTTTTCCATTACAGTGGGAGTTGTGAGAAAAATTGTTCTACTTTATTTGTGATCTCAATAATATCCACCATGGTAGATATTTAGTGTATATTTTTGAAATAATGTATAAATAACTCGCCTAGATGGCTGCCCTCAATCTTTTTTTCAGTTGCAAAACAGTACTGTATATATTTATCTTACGTATATGTGTGTAGGTGTTTGTGTGTACATGTCTGTGTGTATATACATATCTCTTGACGCCATAGTTATAGAGGGGAAAAAAAGACAACTGAGTGTGAGGGGGTAATTGCTTACTTGTTGATGCATCAGTCAATTTAAGTATCCTCCTTTAAGTATCCATTAATTATTACATGCATGTAAAAGAATGCAATTTTAAATTAGCACCTGCTTTCAAGTTTATTTTCAGAAAAAGTTAAACATTTATGGCACTTATGGTAATTAAGGAAAAGTTCTAAATGTTTTCTTGTAAGTCAGAGTGTGAATAAGGAAAACAAAAGAAAAATGTTAAACATGATTCCTTTTTACATAATTTATTTTATCTCAGCCATATTTTTTTGTTGTCAATGCTTTCTCTGTTTGTAAAAGTAAAATGTTATGAGAGTGTTTATTATGAGCTTCATTTTTCTATAATGTCTGTGAGTTTAGAAAGAAAATTATTATATCTGTTATTTCCAGATTTAGCGTTCTCCGAGCCTGCCTGTACAATAGTGACTCAATAAATATTTTTGGCTTGATTTATCAAATGGTCTTGCTTCTTACACAACCACATTAAAAAGTATGAGTAGGATAAAACTGAAAAGTGATGAGATGTATAATAACTGTTAAGATATATAGCACTTATTACATACTAGACACTGTTCTGGGCAATACATATTTTTATGTATTGTATATAACTAAAATGACAATTTTTAGCTTATTTAATGTTCATATAACCATATGAATTAATATTACTCCCCCACCATTAGCAGATAGGAAACCAAGGAACCGAGGGCTTAAATGACTTGCCCAAGGTCTTAGTTCTAGTAGAGCTAGTAATTGAAATTGGGTTATCTTGCTTCAGAATCTGTGCTCTTAATTACCATGCTATGAATAGTGGTGCCAGAGATTCAGATAAATCTGCGTAATTTTGCCTTATAACAAAGGCAAGTACTTCAAAAATACTTTGGAATGTGTTTTGGTAGAATGAGGCTTAATACAATCCTCAGTAAACTATCTCTATTTTGAATATTCCTTTCCAGAAATATTTTAAACTTATACTCAAAATGTGAAATGATTTTAAATATATACCATTCACTTGAATAGAAAATAGAAAGAGAGAGAGAGAAGGAAAGAAGGAAAGAAAAGGAAGATCCAGTTTGCATTTGATCAGTTTTAAAAATGCTCACTGTGATAAACATCTTCAAAATTTGAGTCATGTTCCTTTAGTATTTTCACTTCCTAAGATAAGTCTGTGCAAACTTTAAAGAGGGAGCAGCTATATCAGTTTGGTTCAGTAAAATAACTTTACAACGCTAACAATTTTTAATGTCTTCCATATGCACTTAACACTTTTAAGCCAGATTCCTTATTTTAAGTTGTAAGATCCTGAAGGATAGGTTGCATGTTTTACTCAGTATTCTATTCTATGTTCCTAGCACGGTGCTTTGTATTTCAGCGGACACTCAATAAACTTCTGTTGAATGAATTGATTATGGTTGAGCATAATTAATTAACACAAATCTATAATTTTCACAAATTTAATTATAAAAATATTTAGAAAAGTAATATAGTTAATATGTGGAATGATTTCTGAATGATTATTAGGGCCTGGAATGAAAGTACGGCTCATGCATTTAACTTTGTTTAAACACACAGTAATGGTAATGAATGATTTCTTTTTTTTATACTTTTCTATTATTAGTAAAAATTATATTTGTGGAAAATGTTTACACAGAGTTAAGTACCAAATCTGTTTAAACACATTAACAAATTATACAAACTAATCATTAATTATATATTATACAAATGAGTATAGTAATATTTATACTGCTTTGTCCAGCGAGACTGAATTATTTGTTTCAGTCAGTTTGGGGGCTGGGAAGTAAACACTGTGCTAATACATGCATAAATAATGTACCTTAGGTTACTTACTTATTTTTATACATGATGCATGTATTCATTAAAATGAAGAAGGGAGACAGTATACAGGTGTTCTATTCAGGAAGGAAATTTTCAAGGAAATGAGAAAACCTGTATTTGATAACCCTTTTTTTTTCTTATTTGCAGGATTCAGATTTGGGATATTGGTGTTTCTGTTTTGAAGAATATTTCCTTTTGAGCTTTTTTTTTTTAATCATCGGTCTTGGACTACAGAAGAATCAGAAAGACACTTATTTTGTTTCAAGTTTGGAACACTCACTCTTGAGGCACTCTCATGCCTGAGAACATGACCATGTGGCCATCACAGCTACTAGTCTTCATGATGCTCTTAGCACCGATAGTTCATGGTAAGACCTTTAAGTATATTTTTGTGTGATGCTTAATGTTGTCTTAGTTGTTTACACTAGACCCTTCTAAATTTTTGCTCTATGATTTTGCAGCTTTTGCCTACCATATATTAATAGCAGTAAGTAATGTACCTTAAGCTGCAATAAATAGGATTTCGAGTTTGATTTCTTAAAATACCATTTAAAATGTATATCTAACCAAAGTTTAAAAAAAAATAATGCATGTTTTATTCTTTGTTTTACCACACTTAAGGAATATCATCTGAATTATTAACTATGTCATTTATTGTGAATTATTTTTATTTACATTTTTTTGTAGGTAAAATAACTTTTAATACAGTAAGTATGCACATTTGAAGGAAAACACTTCAAAAATCTACCTTCCTGAACCAAGTAATCATTTGTTTCTGAGTGTTTACTACTCTCCTCAATCTTTAACAAACAGAATAAAAATTAAACCTCTCATTAAAGCAAAATTCTCACATCCCTTTCAATGCAAAAAAAGGGAAAAAACCAACAACATCAAAATGATATCAACATATGCAGAAAGGTATTTTTCTTGAAACATGCTAACACACTCATAAAAGACTGTGTTCTTTGTTCATTTAGACAGCTTGGTATTTATAACATGAGTATGATAGTTAAGAAATGATCTCCCTTGCAAATTTTATAAAACATATAATTATTCAATAAATAAGCAAAACAAATTCTGTACCACTTAGTACAATATTCACGGGATCTCTCTAAAAATTGGCAAATTAAACTCTATATATATGTTCCTTTTTCACAATTTAAAGTTTTCTACTAATTATCATTGGTTTTGCGCTAAGATGAAAATGGCATAATATAGTCACTATCTCATACATTAATGGTAATTAGAACAAAGAAAAAGGGACACAGCTGTATTTGCCACTGCTTAGAAGGTCTCAGAATATTATAGTTTAGCAAGCAGCTGAAAAGCATTTTTAGCCTCTTCAGCTCACTTTTGGTTTTTAATTGACTACAGGGATCTATTGTAGTTCGTCAGTGATGTGAATCCGAATTTGGCTCATATATAAGTTTCACCATGAATTCTGCATTCTGCTGTCAGTATAAAAACTGGATATTATCACTTCTCTCTTGACATTTTCCCTAAAGTTCCCCTGATTTAACACCTTTATTTCTAACAAATCGCTATATGATAGTGTTTTTTTAAAAAATGAAAGTAAAATTATACAACCATCTACTTTTAAACAATATAAATTTGTCAGATATTTCAAAATTTTTCCTTAATTCTTATATTGATGTAGCACTTACATACTCACATACTTGGGCACATATAACATTTTGTGATATGGGACAGTATAAGAATTATGCAGCTTTAAACAAGTGCTTTTCTGATTATCTGTATATCTAAAGATGATTCTAATTAGGTTTTTAGATGTTATAAAAACACCTCACTCATAAGGTTACTTTGAAGATTAAATAAATAGTATATGTAAAGAATCTAGCACAGTGCCTGACAGATATTGTGACTGAACACATTAATTTCCTTTATCATACTATCTGCCCCTCCAGTTTGTTTTTGTGCCAGTAAGTTGTAACAACTAGGAACTAGCTAACCCTGAGAGCTTTTTCATTTGATGTTGATATTCAGAAAAAAAAAAACAAAAAAACTCTATGTACAAGTCAAGTTTAAAAAGTCAGTCTAAAATTGCACTGTTAGAGCAAGATAGGTTAAAAATAGCAGAAATAGATATTGTAAGAAAGACTCCCTTTTCAGAGGTGAAATTTCTGGTCTCCAAAAACTGACACCTACTGTGTATTTCAGTGGGCCCCAAACATGGCTGAGCCTTAGATCATAGGTCTTGAGTTAAGGCCTGTACTGAGCACACATACACACACACACAAACACACACAGACAATCTCTCCAAGTAACTCTGAGAAGTATTTAAAAACTCCTAATAGGGCACAGAGAATATTGAGCCTGGTATATAAAAAATATAAAACATTTTGGCTAAAAACTAAAGTAATTCTTTCCATTGGATGTGAACCACCTTATATTATCTTCACTTTGAACCATATCAAGATAAACAATATAGAAGCGTTCCACTTATAAACTTTATTCTTATTACCTTGTGTAAGTATTTTAAAACTTCACACCAGAGAAAATGCAAATCAGTTTTGTCTGCCTTCCATAGGAGACTTTCTCCATTGCCTTTGTTATACCACTTCGGGCTTGTAAATAAAGGGCTTCACTTGAGCAGCCTTTTGGAATCCAACATACTCATAAACAGAGGAGTGTGTGTACCTTTGAGCAGTGATGAAATCTAATAGGATAGGCATTTTTAGAGTCCCATATAGCTTAGAGTCCTAGTCCTGGCTTAAAGGAATACCATATAGCTCGAAACCTTAGAGGACTGAGGTAACGTGGATGTCTCAGTTATAGAAGTACTCTTGTTTCCAAAACATCCCCTTATAGCATCTCTTTGCCTACTGCTGTTGAGATGCCTAGCTTCATTTGTCCTTGAGACCATAGAGAATTAACTTTTCTGGGTATCACCCGAATTGCTGGCCTTTTCTCCAGAGTAAATAATAATGATGACTATAAATTCTGTAGCCATAAACTTTAGAGGTATTGGTACAATTAATTATCACAACATTCTCATGGGTTTAATGTTATTTATTGTTATCATCATTATCATTAACTTCTTATAGTAAAATCCTTGAGGTACCAAGTGGCAAAAGAACTTGACTAAAGTTGCACATGAGACCCAGAGAGGTTTTAAAACAAAGGACTTAGCTTCTTAAGCTCTGGTCTTAATGCCAGTAGATAATCAGTTACTATCAAGGCCATTCTTCCCTACAGAAAAAATCCCACCTCAACTCTCCTGGTCCTTTGGGAGCAGATAAGGCAGAAAAGTAGATTACCTGCTTCTTCCATGTTCTGGGCACAGACAGACTGGGATTTGAAGTCTAACAGACCTGAGATAAAATTTCAGCTCTACTGCTTACAAGCACTGTAACACTGTTACCTGGTAAACTAGTTAACACATGTCATTTATCATAGACTATGAGCCAGAAAACTGTGCTAGTTGCTAAAGGTAAGGTAGTGAACAAAAGATTCTTAATTTTCCCCTCAAGCTTACAGTAACTTAAACATTTGTAAACCTACTTCTCATCCGCAAGAATGAACACTTACTCCATGTGCGGTTATTTTAAGAAATTGATGGAATGATATGTGAATAGTTTCTAACATAGTGCTTGGCATTCAATAAATCTTTATATTTTATTTTCCTAGCCCTAACTACCTTGAAATAGAACTAAACCTCTCAGCATTACATAAGGAAAATGCATAATTATCATTATTCTTACCCTGATAATTGAAATCTTTTGCTACTTGGACCTCAGCATTTAAGTTTTGCCAGAAAATTTTAAAACTAGTATCTAAACAAAATTATTATCAAACTGATATATATATATGTATATATATATAAAGGCTTAGTATATAATTGTCAGTATATAATAATATAGTATCTAGTTGTCAATTGTCAGTGCTAGTAGTATATAATTCGTAGTATATAATTGTCAGAGAAGCATTTTTTGCATGATTTCTACACGGGTAAAATTAGAAACTAAGCTGAAGAATTAATTCTGAATAATGTTTACATTAGTTGAATAATCTCCCACATCATCCTAGAAAGTCTGGCCAGTGTTTTTTATAGGAAAACAAAATTAATTAGTATATCCACATTGTGTGTATATATATATATATATATATATATATATATACACACACACACAAGTTTTAAATTAAGAAATGTCTCTAGGTCTGTGTTTATCTGTCCATATTTTATGTCTCTGTGTACCTCTGTATTTCTCTTTTTCTGTTTACCATGACTGTGCCCCCTTCTTGTACAGCCATAAAATCCTTATCTATAATGCAATGAGACCTGGCAGAAGTAAAGAGAAGCAGCTAAAGCAGGTGGCCAGTTCTTTGCTGTTAACTAATGTAGTGTTGCATGAAGATAAAAGTTTTTTTGTTCTATTGATCTTGTTGGGAGCAAGAGAAAAAGGGGAAATTGGAGAACAAAAATCAAGTGATAACATGGGCACCTGGGACTCATCCTTATTGGCAGTAAAGCAATATGCTTCAGTGTAGGACCTGGACTAGGACATCTGGTCCTGGGAGGGATGTCACACAAGCTACAATGGGTTGGGAGTTGAGAAGGTGATTGGGGTGCTCAAATATTTTAACTGCATCTCATCTTAATTAAACTGTGTTTAGAAACTGTCACAATTAAAAAGATAGAAAACAGGATCATTGGAGCCTACTGTGTGCTAAAGGGAACAATACTTTTTATGGTACCTTTGCAGAAAAAAGTAGAATTTAAAAAAATTCTTCTGTGACCACCATATGTGTACTTTTTTCTGCAAGTCTATTTTTTTGTCATTAAAGTTGAATGAATATTTATATATTAATGGACTTTACAGGCAAACCTGTTCTTTATTATGTCCAAGAAGTTAATTATTATAAATAGTTCTTAGCAGGGACAAAACAATTGTCGAACGCATATATATTTCGTACTATATGTTTTATGTAATTTGCATTTTATTATTAACTATTTTTACAATTATAATATTTAATGTGTCAATGGTTTAAAATAATAATTTAAAATATTTTTTGACCTCTAATAAAATGTAAAGCTTGAGAAAGTACAAAATTACATTTTATAACACAACATATTACCGTATAATTTTTTTATGAAGTCATGTTTTATTAATTGTGAAAAAGACAGGTTGACTTCTAAGCTCTGCTTAACTTTGTTATTTTTAGAAATTAATCATCCTTTAAATGTTTATAATGTTTGCCAGCCTAGGCAATTTGTCATACTTGCAGTAATATCACTGTTTTTATGGTCAAATATGTTATACAGAAAAATCTTTGTCATTATCATGTTATTTGAGGTTACTACGAACACATCCAACACCATCTACATTAGCCACTCGGTACTGAAATT